TAATATTAACATAATATGGGTATAAAATTATTTAATTAAAATTGATTACAACTGTATGCAAAAAATATTCAAAAAGTAACCAATTTAAACTTGTAACTTAATAAGCAAACAAGTAACTTAATTTAAAACATAATTATACTCAATTTAGTTGATGTTTTTTAGATTATTTGAGAAGTATATTACAGCAATTCCAAATTCTCATTAAATTGAAAAGATTTTAAAAGTATGTGATATCAGCATGTGTTGTCTCTGTCTTACAAATGTGTAAAATAACAAATTTTACACTCTGCCAATCACATTTAGCTTTGTTATTTTAAAATTAGAGTGAATTAGCGTTTTATAAAATTTAAAGGTAAGTTTATAATTTAGACAACCTCATAGGCTTTTAACTATATTTTAATTTTGAAGCAAGTTATAAGTATTTTAATATGTACAAAACATTTACAATTTAAAAATACTTATATTTTGCTTCAAAATTAAAATATAGTTAAAAGCCCATGAGGTTATTTAATATTCTTACCCTTAAATTGTATAGGAAATCAATTCACTTTAATTTTTAAACTAACGGAGCTGAGCATAAAATTTGCCATGTGACGTAGTTGTAAGACGGAGACAACACATGCTGGTATCACGTCCTCTTAAAAACAATCTAAATGTGGTACAGTTTAGATGAGCATACAAAATGATTATTGTTCAACATTTAACTTAGTAGATAGATTCATGGAAATTTTACTCTACAAAATAATAATGATGATAAAATATATAGTTTGTATTTACAAATAAAATTATGAATGCGGATGCTATTTACAATATATGATACAAATGATATTGATCAATAAATTTTCTTTGATGGATTTTAGAACTACTACCAAATTAATAAACACGTTATCAGATATCTATAAGACACTCTTAGCAACAGTTATATGAATAAATTCTTATTTAGTCGTATTAATATATATATATATGTATACCAAATATTTTATTTAAAAACAATGAATGAGGTCAGCCTAAATCCTAGAACTTTTTATTTAGAAATAATAACCATTTTGTACTAAATCATCGCATGCTTGAAAATCATCAATTTCTTAAATTGATCCAGTACTAATTATTATATTACATTATAGTAGAACCACTTATCAAAATGCATACACTATCTTTCATCTATAAAAATGTAAGGAGATATTTGAATAAATTGATATTATTTAAGAAACAATAGTTACGTTGTTGTTTAGATAATTTTTTTCTATATAGTTAGTAAGCTGTTGTTCTTTATGATTTTTAAGTTATTTTAACGTTTTATAAATTAATATAACTCATTAATTTTTGTTAATACTTTTTAGCTGATTCATTGGATTTTTTATGGATTTTTAAATGAAAATCAGTGATTTAAATATGCAGTCTTTGGAATATGGAAAACTTTAATGTTGACAATTTTGAAGATATGCATGTGATTCATTTGGAAGAATGTATTCAAGTTCACAAAGCAACTGATTTTGAAATGTAGAACTTAACTTGCTAAGGAATTTATCTTAGTTTTGCTTTAATATGTTGATTATTTATTTCTTTTTTAAAAACCATTTGGTATGTGATGATTTGGTTGTATCATAAAAGCATGAGTATGTCTAACATTAAACAAATAACCCATTTATCATTAGCTACACATTATACCACATCATAATTTCAAATACATTAAGACGTAACTAATCTTTATAAGAAATTAATATTTTTATGTAAAATATCTAGAATCTCTGCATATTTTTTTTTTTTTGTTATTAACCATTTTTTCATGTCTTAGATCTATGAAATAACCACAAAAATTATGTATCTGCTCTATTTATTATAACCAATATCATAGTAGTAAAATGCAATATCTTAATAATCACCACCAGATTTTAATTGTAAAAAAATAAAACATATTTTTATACCTAACCTTATTTTTCAAGTATAGAATAGTTCAATTTCAACTTTTAAGTAAAATCTTTTACAATGTTTCTTATTTTCTTTCAACACTTTTTTTGGTCTAGTATGATTCCTAAACAACACAAAATTAGGTTTAATTTTTTCAAATTTTCTAACTCTAGTAATTCATTTTCAATTACAAAAATCTTACATGGCTATAATTACTATAATAAAGATCTGAACTTTGATTAATATTTAATAAATTTTATGACAAAAAGTCTTTTGCCAATGGATTGGACAACACTTTCAACCCATTTTAATTTTATGTTTTTTTTTTATACATCTCATATGGTATCCCAAGACCATTGACCATTGTATAAATATTTAGTGAATGTGCGCATATATATTAGTGAAAACATATTTATTTTTGTGATTATAATTAATGATAATAATTGAATTGTAAATTGTAAATAATTTGTAATAGGTATTTCAGATTTTTTTTAAGTGCTTGAATAAGTCCTATGTTATGTGTTAATTGAGAATATTGGAACTATTTTGAGATAAAAAAGTGAAAATTTCTAGTATAATGTTAAATGTAATGCTAATGGCCTCAGATGTTGAAGCAGAAATTATTAATAATTTCAAGATCGATAAACAAGAAGTAAAAAATATGTGAATATTTTGAGTTGAAATGAGTGGGTAAATAAATGTAAAAAAAAAAATATTCAATAAAATAATTAATAAATATAAGTAATTGAGGTAAAACATTAATAGGTATGTAATTAAGTAAAAATAATAATAAAACTAAATGATTAATAATAATTAAATAATTGGAAATAATAATATTTATAGGATAGTGAAATTTCAATTATCAAATTTAGAAAATGAAAAAGGTTACCATTTTTATTTTCAAAATTTGATGAAAAAAAATATAAAATTAAGATTTGAGATATCATTGTTATATTATTACATATTATCATGTCCACATTCCATGGTAATAATTATTTTGATAATTATTCTTGATAAAATAAATTATAATTAATATAATCGAGACAAATTTACAATTACCACTTGCGTAAATAATTTTAAAAGAGATTTAATATATGCTCTCCAATTGAATGGTCTACATAAATGTACGCTAATATTTAAAACTGTTAAGTAAATTTCATGGAAATGATTTAAACAAAAAAAAGTTGATAAAATATTATAATGGAAAGTTAAGATGAGAAACTTGTAGAAAATTTATATTGTTTTTGTTGTTTGTCTGATATAAGCTTTATATGTATCAGAGCAATGTTATTTACTTGATTATGATAAATCATGTTAATAAACTAATTATGTTTGAAATTAGCTGCAGAGCTTCTAAAATCAGTATCTTGTTCTTTTTAAACATTATTTTTTAAATTAAAACAGGGTATGGTGGAGGAGGGAAGTGATTTTACATAAAACACTCATAATCTAGATCATACAATTAGTGTTCTATTTTATAACTATGTAATATGTAACATTTTTAAATACATTTTTAGGCAAATACTCTCCACAAACCATGAAGCGAAAGTTGTGATTGACATTATAGATGACTACAAATTGATAGATGGAAGATTAGCAGAAAATAGTGGTGACATCACATTTAATTATGTCACTATTAGTACCAATACTGATATAGGAACCAATGTCAATAATTTTGAAATAGCAGTCAGTAGTTTTAGAGGTGTTATCATCGTCAACAAATTCAATGTACATTTGCAGAATCATAATTTTAATCAGCCAAGCAAATATAAATAATGATACATACCTACCTATCTAAGTTATTCTAAAAAGTATATAATATTCATTATATATTTTTTTGTTACAAATTTAAATTTTATAGCTGTTTGTACCTAATTTTGATTTAAACAATTTTTTGTATTATTTCAGTTCACAAATGCAATAAAAAATTAAACTTTACGAGTAATTTCATATACGTTTTAAAAAAATATATTTTATATTTATATACATAATACATATTATATATTTTTATAGGGATTGTCACATATAATATACAAATAGTCTCATGATACACACTATATATCATCAACTAAAACATAACAAGATTAGTATGGAATATTTATGATTTATAAACTCAAAACTATCTCATAATTAAACAACTTATACTGGTAATCTGGTAATACTACTGTAATAGTGTAATATAATAATTAGTATATTTTGTAAATAACACAAATCATCTCATAATAATTAAGTTATAAGACATAAAAACATTAAACAATTATTTTAATTCAATAATCACTAATCAGATCATAATATTATGTCTTATTTATTTGATAATTCAACTATTCTTATTTTTGTATTTTTATTATTTTTTTATTATTGTTGTTTTCATAATATCTTCCCATTTTTCAGAAGTACTGTGATTCCCTAAATTTATTATTTCTACTTATTTCATTMACAATATCCTGTATCACTAGTATACTGCTATTATCGCGCAATAACCACAAAAACAATTTGACGCCTCGATTTATTAAGAATTTAGCTCCAGAGTTGTGTAAAAGCGTAGAACTTACCTATATTTTATATCTATATTCATGTGGTATATCTAAAATTACTTTGTTTTAAGTCAAATTTTTTTTCTATTAAATTTTACAATTCTCACCAGTTTGTACTGATTTCTCTGACATTAGACCGGAGATATTCTGGTCAGTTGAACTACATTTTGTTAATAATATACTTTGGCTTAATATCTTGTACTTCTTTATTTACCTAACTATATTTAATACTCAATGACTATAATGTTTAAGTAAATTATTTAGCCAGGAATATAATTGTTAAACTCAAGTATAGTTTCAT